ATGGCAGCACAGCTCAGCTCGCACCATCACCCTCCTCCCCCCGGGGTGGCAGCCCCCCACCAGCCAGCGCCCGGGCATTGGGCAGGTGGGCCCTGTCCCAGCATGAATGGGCATAGCAGGTCTCCTGCGTTAGTTCTGCCACATCTCCCTTGCCCTGCGCTGGTTCCCACTCCAAAGATGCCTCTCCAGCACAGCTCCAAGCCCCCCCACCTCCTTCCCATGGCCAATATCCATGCGAGCCCCATTGTTGTGTAGCAGGACAATGTCTCTCCAGCCTCACCCAGCCCTTCCCTGACCCCCTGCCGGGCACTGCCACTAGACACCCACTTCCCTAAGCCCTCGCTTTTCCCTGTTTGGTTCGTAGGTACCTCCAGGAGTATGCAGCACTGGGCACGGGTGGTGGCATCTATCACTTCCGAGACCAGATACTGTCAGGCGGTGCTGAGGCCTTCTTTGTCCTCAACGCAGATGTGTGCTCGGAGTTCCCATTGCAGGAGATGCTGGAGTTCCGGCAGCAGCACGGGGACACGCAAAGCTTTGTCATTCTGGGTACCACAGTGAGTGGCAGTGCTGGGGAGCACAGGAGCAGCGGTGCTCCGCTGTGGGCTTGTCTAGAAGCCTGTGGCTCCTGCAGTGGATGGGTCCCTGGGTGGGAGCTCCAGGTCTCATCTGCTCTGCATCGGTGTGCCCGCTGCTCCACCTCTGCTAACACATCCTTGCTCCGCAGGCCAACAGGACACAGGCGCTGAATTACGGCTGTATTGTGGCAAACGCAGACACGCAGGAGGTACTGAAGGGCCTTGGGGAGCCGGGCATGGCGTGGGCAGTGGGTGCTGCACTGCCCGTGTGGGCGCAAGTTCCCTGTGTGCCACAGAGGGTGTGACACCTGGTGCGGGGGCTGCACCCTGGCACTCATGTCTCTTCCCTTGCCTCCAGGTCCAGCACTACGTGGAGAAGCCCAGCACGTTTGTCAGTGAGATCATTAACTGCGGCATCTACCTGTTCACACCTGCCATCTTCCAGCACATCGGCGAGGTCTTCCAGAGGAACCAGCAGGAGCTAGTGCTGTGAGTGCTCCCTTCTGCCCTGTGTCCCTCCCACCCCACTGCTTCCCAGGGCTGCAGCGGCACGCTCATCCTCCATTCTTTCTCTATCTTCTCTCCTCCTCTGCCATCACTCACTTGTTTCCTGGTCCTGCACCAGCTGTCCTTACCTTGGGTAAGTCTCCCTCTGTGTCTGCACTGGCTGCTCTCTGGGCTGGACCGTCCCTGGTGATAACGCATGCTTTCCTCCCTGCTCAGGCCGCTCTGCAAGGCTGTTCATTCCTCTGCTCCCCTGCAGGCCAGCTTGAGACTCCCCCTCTCCCTTCCTCTCCTCCCACCCCCCATCCTCATCCAGCTCCAGCCAAGGGGCTGAGCCAGCCTTTCACCTGGGAATGCTCTGCTCCCCCCTCCAGCTCTCTTCACCAGCCAGCCTGTCAGCTGTCATCTCTGCCACCACCCAAGCGAAAAACCCAGCTGTGCAGGGCTCTGGAGCCAGGGCAGGACCTGTTGCTCGTACACCTACCTGGACTGGGTGGGGCTCTTGCACCATCACCTTCTGGCTGAGAGCTTGTTTCAGCTGCCAGAGCCCCATCTGATGCTCTGGGGCTCAGTGGGGTTGGGCAGGCCTAGCCTGACAGCTGGGGCTGTCCCCGCTTTGGGGAGAAGAGCATGGCTAGGAAGGACTCCAGGATCCTTCCTAGGAAGGAGACCAGGGCCCCCAGATTTGGGGAAAGTAGCAGCTGGGGTCTCTGGCTGAGGCTGTGACTGGGGTGAGTGTCTAACGGGCCTCTTGCTTGCAGAGAGGAGAACTCCAACGGCTGGCAGCGTGCAGAAGTGATCCGGCTAGAGCAGGACGTTTTCACGGCGCTGGCTGGGAGCGGCAAACTCTACGTCTACAAAACTGATGGCTTCTGGAGCCAGATCAAATCGGCCGGGTAAGGGCTGGGGCTACAGCTGGCTCAACAAAAGCATCGAGCAGTCCTTACCAGAGCTGGGAGAGGAGGGCACGCAGGCAGGGCCCTGGGGCTGGGTGCTAAATTCAGACCCTCTAATGCTCTGGTAGTACCAGAGAGGTAACACCTGTCATTTGCTTTTCCTCCCCCAGCTCTGCTATCTATGCCAGCCGCCTGTACCTGAACCAGTACAGCAAAAGCCACCCAGAGAGGCTGGCCCAGAACAAACCCGGAGGCCCTATTATCCGAGGTACCCCTCTGACACCCCTGCCACCTTGGGAGCTGCCCCGCGTGGGACAGGGGAGAAGTAGGGAGGCAGTGGGACCCATGGGCAGGAACCTCCTCTGATCTGAGCGGCGAGTGCTCCCGCCAGCTGCCTCCCCTGACGCGGCTGCCTTGTGTTGCAGGGAACGTGTACATCCACCCGACGGCCTCCATTGACTGCACCGCTGTGGTGAGTGCAGGCCTTGGGGGGGCCCTGCAGCGGGGGGTGCCATTGTCCTCAACCTCATCACCTCCCTGTGTCCTCACAGCTAGGACCCAACGTCTCCATCGGGGAGGGAGTGACGGTGGGAGCTGGTGTGCGTGTGCGCGAGTCCATCGTCCTGCACGGTGCCTCACTCCACGTAAGTCGGGTTTGCCCAAGGGTGTGGGTGTCAACCCTTACCCCTTGCAGGGAGGTGGCAGCACCCTTCACCCCCCTCTCCTTTGCCCCAGGACCACACCTGTGTCCTCAATACCATCGTGGGCTGGGATAGCACCATTGGGCGCTGGGCCCGGGTTGAAGGGACGCCCAGTGACCCCAACCCCAACGATCCCTATGCCAAGATCGACAGTGAGACCCTGTTCCGGGATGGGCGCCTCACGCCCTCCATCACCATCCTGGGTATGTCCCACTCACGCCTAGCTGCCCCAGCCCCACGCAGTGGGACAGAGCCTCTCCCCCGCCGTTAACCCTCTCACACTCTCCCCACAGGCTGCAGTGTCACCATCCCTGCTGAGGTCGTTATTCTCAACTCCATTGTCCTTCCTCACAAGGAGCTGAGCCGCAGCTACAAGAACCAGATTATCCTGTGAGTCAGCTGCTCGCTGGGTTGGAGGCAGGGGGACGTTGCCAGCCCCCAACTCCCTGCTGTGCCTCACAGCAAGAGCCTGTGCTAGGACTTCACCTCCTGGGAGGTCCCGAGCACCCCCAGAGGGGTAGGTGCAGGTCAGGAGCCCTGCAAGTGCCTGATTCCTACTCCAGACAGACATTAAAGCTGGTGAGCATCAGCCTTGCGTGCTGCTTCTCTTGCAGCCCAGGGACCAGCCCTGGGGCAGGGGGAAGGCTTTGGGGACAGCACATGGCCCTGGCGGGGAGCCCTGGGCTGAGGCTGTTGGAGGGAGCACTTGCTGCCTGCAGCATCTCAGGTCTTGAGCTTTGGGGGTTTCTCCACCAAAGGGCACTACCAGCAGGCTCTTGCCACCCCTCACCAGGCTCTCCCTGCTCTGCAAAAGTTGCTGTCTGCAGCTCCCTGGCAGGTCTTGGCCCATCTCAGAGACTTGAGGGGGGGGGCTTTGAATCTGCCTGCCCTGTTTGGGCAGCCCCTCCTGCGGGAGCCAGTTGTGAAGATCCCAGTGATTGCAACAGCCTGAGCTGGACTCCTGCCTACCACTGGGATAACAGTGGCAACCAGGCTGTCCTAAGGGCACTGGCACAGGAGGCCAGGCTTGGAGAGGAGGCTGCTGGCCCTGGAGGGAGCTGCAAAAGCACCCCTTCCCCCAGCACCACCTCCACCCCCAAGGGACCAGGAGAGCTGCCAGCCCAGCTCCCATCAGGCTGAAACCTGCACAGCTGCCTAGGGATGGCTCAGGGTGATGGCAGCAGGTCCCCTGCCACCCTGGTGGGCCAACAGCCTCCTCCCCACCAGCATGGGTGTAGCTGGGGGGCTCACACATCTCCCCTCGCACCAGGGCAATCAACTTCCATGTGTGCAGGTGGCACAGATTCACCGACTCGCTCTGTCTCAACCTGTTTTTATTGAAGGCAGCTCCCTGCTGGTCCTGGCAGTCTGTCTATGGTAACCAACACTGCCCTTTATCCACTTAACCTCCCTGTCTTCTCCTCTGGTTTTGGAGCGCTGTGCTAAAGCCCTCCACTCCCCCGAGAGCCCCATCATGCCTCTCACCTTCAGCGAGGCATTGCATTAGGGATTCTCCATCCATCCAGTACCACCCCAGCTTGATGGATTTGCAGCAAATCCTTGCTCCCAGCCTCGTGCCTTCCCGTGCCAGTTCTCCTGTGGTCCTGGGCGGGGATTAGCTGTTCCCTGGCTTTAAGCACATTAAAACTCCTTCAGTTTTGCCTCTGCCTTGGATGTGCTAATTTCCTTGCCCGCTGGTGAACACCCCTGCACTGGGGGAAACTGAGCCAAAGTACTTGCTTTCGGGATTGTACGTGAATTTCCTTCTATGTCCCCCATCTGGCCTGGCTTTTAGTGCAGACAAAGGTTTCTCAGCTGCTGGACGTGGCCCTTTGGGCAGTTCTTGGCCCTGTTGTGTAATTCCCCCTTTCCCCAGCTCCCCTGGTAGCGGCTGTCCCTTGTGCAGAGTTATCTGGGGGACAAGCCCTTCCCTGGCCCTTGCTCCATTACAGCCTCTTCCAGCTTCCCCCTCTCTCTGCATCCCAGCCCTGCTCCGGCTTTGTGAGGCTGGAGGGGAGGAAGGAAGGAGTTAAAGGGGCCTCTGCTGAGGTGCCAGGAAGTCTGGAAACGCTTTAAGGTTGTCCTGCCCTGAGCCTCAGCAGCTCCAATTACTTGAGGCCAACATCTGGGCTGGGAGAGGGGCCTCCCAGCATCCTGGGCTCCAGGGCAGGGAGAGGAGGGCTTCAGCAAGGGTGGGAGCAGGGAGCTCTGCCTGCCCTCCCCTCCCTGCCCAGCAGCAGGGGTTTGGGGGAACGCTGCTTACCCTGGCTGTCACTATAGCTCTTGTCTGCTGCCCAGCCACGCTCCATCGTGCCCCAAACCCTGGCGGCAGCCGGGTGGGAGGAAGAGACAGCGGACACAGCCAGGCTTGTTTTGCTGCAAAGGGTTTAATACAAAACCAGCCCCTCAGTACAGCGCCGGGGCAGTGTCCCTGTCCCCAGTTCCCCAGAAAGCAGAGCAGGGCTAAGAGCTTGGCACCCCCAGCCCCCAGCCGTCTGCCTGGTCCCGCAGGCTTCGCTCCTCCTCCGGTGCCAGCCCCGTGCCCCCTGGGAGCTGCCGCTGCAGGCTACACCGGGGGAGGGAAGAACCGGCCCACCTTCTTCAGAGCCTGCCCTTTCCTGCGTGGGGAGAGATGAGTCAGGGGTGCACAGCGAGCTCCCGTGGGACCCCCCCGCCCACCCCCGGCGGCACTCACGGGGGCTGGGCTGCCATGCCCACGCAGCTCCGCAGGGTGTTGGGGAGGCAGCAGGTACCACCTGGGCTCAGCTGTCCCGGCTTGGGCTCCAGGGAGATGACGGGGCTGGAGAAGGGCTCTGCAGGACTGTCGCACCCCAGCCCCACCATGGGCACCCCGGAACCTTCCACAGCCACAGGGCAAGGGCAGGGAGGGGGCTGGGGCTCCTGTGCCTCACTGTGCTCACCCGCTGGGGCTGGCATCGGCACCAGGTTCTCCTGCTCCATCCTCAGGAAGCCTCTCCAGAAGTCGGGCGGCAGCGAGAGGAGCCGAGCCATCACCTGGGCAGGGAGGGATGGAGGATGGGGATGGTGGCAGCTCCCGGGGCACAGCCCACACCTCGGGGACCCCCTCACCTTGCACTGCCGCGGTGTGTCCTCCATGATGACGAGCGGTGTGGGGTTGGCCGAGCCATGTCCCACCAGCGTGGGACCAAACACGCGGGACAGGTTGAGGACATCCATCTTGCAGTCAGGGCTGTGTGACACCCTGCAAGGGGTGGTGGATGGTGTGAGTGTGCTGCCCCCACCAAGAGGGGCCCTCATCCTCAGCCCAGCTTCCCCACCCTGGGGCATGGAGCCTGGGCGAGGGGCAGAGAGCTGGGACATGGGGACAAACCACGATGAGTCCTTCACCTGAGCAGGTGCAGCATGAGGAAGGCTAGGGTGTCCCTGTTGGCTGGTGGCAGCTTGCTCACCACGTGGTGCAGGGCTGTGCTGCAGGCAGCATCATCCGGGATGTCTGGTGGCACCAGGAGAGCGGTGTGAGGGGAGGAGCAGCCCCTTCTCCCCCACCACCCCCCAAACTCAGGAACCCACCCCCCGGCTCTCACCAGCAGCCCGCAGGAAGGCAGGGTGGAGGCTGAAGGTGACCAGCGGCTCCTTGAGCCCCCGCAGGAAGTCCTTGAGCACCCCACACACCACGTGGATGTCAGCCACGCTGCCGAGGGCTGGCAGCGCACCTCCAGCCTGCAGCAGCCTCCGCTTCCATTCCCGCACCAGCTGCTCCGCGCCCGGCACCCGGTACAGCCCTGTCTGGGGCGCAGGGAGAGGGGCTCAGCCCCACGGGGACCGCGGCATCGATCGCCACCCCCCAACCCCTCCAGAACCTACCTCCGTCAAGCCTCGCGTCTCCACCTCAGTCACACACTGCACCACCAGCGCGGGCACCAAGGGCGGCGTGGCAGGGGCGAAGTCAGCCAGCACGCCCTGGGGAGGGACACAACACCCACCTGCTCCGTGCCCACCACCCAGCCCTGCAGCCAGGGCAGGCAAAGCCCCAGCATCCCAGGGGCGATGGCCCGAGCAGCCCCATGGGGACATGGAGCAGCCCCCCCAAGCACCCCCCAATGCCCCCTCACCTCGCAGGGCCAGGCGTGGTGGCGAGGCCGGGGTGAGCAGGGGGTGAGACACTGCTCCCGGCACTTGGGGTGCAGCAGCAGCTGGCACTGGCGGCACTTGACGGCAGCCTTCCCGAAGCAGATGCGGGAGCCGCAGACACCGCATGGCTCGGGGCGGATCACCTGGAGAGGGGGAGCAGGGTCAGGGTCCCCCTTCTCGCAGGTACCCAGTACCACTCCTTCATCCCTCCCCCAACCAGCCTTCATCCATCCCCCACACAGGCAGAACTGAGGTGGGAGGGATGGAGCTTTGCCCCCCTCCATCCCAAACCCGTGCCTCCTGCACAGCTCCCTTTTCCCTCCTCTTGGCCCCTGGGGCACACACCGTTTTGGAGGTGAACTGGTGCTGGAGAGATGGGAGGCCCGGTGGAGGCAAGGGGAAGGGGGCTAGTGCTAGCTTCCCCGGGGAGCTGCCCTTGGTGTGGCTCTCCTGCCCCGGGGCACGGCAGCCCGGATCCTCGCTGGTGGTATGTGGCGTGGTCAGCCCTGCAGAGAGAGAAGACAGTGGCAGTGGGCCCAAAAGGCAAACCACCCCAGCTCCCAGCTGGGATGTGGGGAGGCTTCCCACCTCCCAAAGAGCCCCCACGGTATCCCAACTGCCCTGGGACAGTGATATTTGTCAAGTCCAGAGGACTCCGGTACCCCCATGGTGAGAGCAAGCAACCCCCAGCAGATCCTCTCCCTCCCTCGCCCATGATGGCAGCACCCTGAGGTTGGTCCCACACCACCCATGAGCTCCCTCCCCAGCCCTTCTCATAACCTGCACCTGTGGAGACACGGCGTCCCTGGTGAGACCGGCGTCGTGGCACCAGAGCAGCAGGTGGGAGGCTGCCAGCAAGGCCTGTGGCCTCAACAGGAGGGGACACGGCGGGGACACTCGCCTGCTGAAATGGGGGGCAGTGAGAATGTGCTTGGCCACAGCCCCACAGAGCCCCAGTGTCTCTCCATGAGCTCTGCCCTGCTTGCTCCCCATCCCTGGGGTCCTGCACAGCCTGGGATGCTGTCACCATGGGTACAGGGGGATACAGGCTGCAGGACACCAAGGATGCTGTCCCCAGCAGGACCAGGGGATACAGGCTGCAGAGCACAGAGACCAAAGGGGAAAGCTGAGCACCCCCAAACCCCACAGCACCCATAGGCCTGTAGGACTGAAGGTTTCAATGTTGCCTCCTGACACTGGGGCAGCCCACACACCCCACCCCTGCCCAGGGTACACTGGGGTCCCTACTCACGGTGTTGTGGGGTGCCACGGAAGACCGGTGCCGCTTCGCCACCACCACAGGGCCGATCTGAGGGGCCAGGGACACACGCTGGGGACAGAAGAGGTGGGGTGAAGGGTAGGCATGGATCCCCTCCCTGATTCCATCCCCCCACACCCCAGTGCACCTAAGCCAAGGAGTCCCAGCTCCACTAAAGGTTCTGGTCTCACCTTGTCCCCAGGTGTTGCCTGCCCCACACCGGGCACCATGGGGACCCAGGCTCCCCAGCTGGGTCAGAGCCAGCCCTGGGGCTGGGGGAAGCCGGCCAGGCCTGCAATGCAGAGGCGTGAGCAGAGCCGGGTGCGGGATGCCCACACGTGTGGATGAATTATTGAGGAGCCCGGCTGGGCCATGGTGGAGGGTAATGGAGTTTCTATTGATCGCGGGAGGTTTGCTGAGAGACGGCGCTCCCAGCCCAGCATCAATAAATTAAACCCCCTGCCAGGCTCCTTGCAGCCTCCCGTGCTGGGATGGGGGAATATCTGGGTGCCCTAACCCTGTGTGGCCCAGGGGCAGCATCCCACTTGCACTGCTGACCTGTCCCTGGGACCCTCTGCCCACACATGGTGCAGGAGAGCTGGGCAGACCCGGGGGATCCTGGTCCAGCACAGGAGCACAGACCCCACCCCAGCCCCTACATCCCAGCATTTCCCTCGTACCTGCCTCTCCTGGGCTTTGCGCTTCAGGGTCCGCACCACCGTCACATCAACATCCTGAAAGGCAGCAGGGAGGCTGGGGGCTGGCAGGGGACCAGGAGCACCCCCAGCAGCCTGGGGCAGCCCACCCCTAACCACAGCCATGCAAAGGGGCTGCCCCACTGCAGGAGTGGGGCAAAACCGCCTCCTCGCTGCTGAACACTGGGACTCACAGCAGGTCGTGCCTTACCACATCGTCTTCGGTGCGGTCATAGCTGATGTCCGAGTGGGACAGGAGGGACTGGCATGACTCGTCCACTGCAGATGACCTGTGGAGCAAGCCTGGGGTCAGCCCAGCTGGGGCAACTTGACCCCTGGTCAGCACCTCCTCCTACAGCCATCCCTGGGAGCCCAGAGCTAACACCTCTGCAGAGCCTGAGCACCCCTGTGCCCAGCCAGCTCCCCCGAGCCCCACAGAGGTGATGGGGAGATGGGCACAGCTGAGCCCAGGACTAGTCAAGGGGCTGGGTCAAGGACTACCAGCCCTGCTCACCTCCTGCCTGGCGCCACAGCTGCCCCAAAGCGCCGGCCAAGCAGGGCACTGATGATGGAGCGTTGCTCTCCACTGCCCCATGGCTCCCACATCAAGGCCTCCAAGACCAGCTGAAGTTTGCGCTCCTGCAAGCAAAACAGGGCAATGGAGAGCGGGCTGGGGTCCCCACAGCCAGGCCACCAGCCCCCCCCCCCCCCCCCCCCCCCCCTCCAGCTCAGCCTCTGCCCGGTGCCGTTTATTCATCTCCACCTCCACCTGGTTGCGGGCGTGCTTGAGCTTCACCTCCAGCGCTGCCCGCTCGGCCTCCACACGGGCCAGCTGCTCCCGGGCCTGCCGCCCGTCCTGCTCCAGGCGGCGGCATCTCTGGCGCGTTGCCTCGAAGCACCGGGCGATCCGGAGGTAGTCTGCGGGCAACACAAACGGGTGGCCAGCCAAGATGGGGAGACTGGCCACCACCTACCCCCAGCACCCTCCCTCCCCGCCATCCCCCCCACGCTGGCAGCAGAACCCGGGGGTGCTCCTGGCCGAGGGGCTGCAGACACCCACCTTCCTCCACGCTGCCGCCGAGCTCCAGCAGCTGCAGTGCCCGCTCCAGCCGGGCCAGGAGGCGCCCGTAGCGCCGCTGCAGCATCCCGGGACAGGGGAAG